TTAGCATATATTTCTCAGAGATGAGATATTTTCCCGCAGTAAAAAGTATCCTATATGTTGACCCGGATAACCAGCTATCATCGTACCAAATTTCATAAAAATCTGTGTCAATAATAATGAATATTTCAATAAGATTTTCCAAAAAATATATTTAATGTACAACTTTGACTCAGTTAGAATTTTATTATATGTATAGATTATATTATATGACTAGCATTGCCCGCGGCTCCGCCCGCGTTCAGATGACCAAAAACCAAATTCTTAGCTTTTACATATTAGTATATTCTTATTTTACAGTTTTTGCATATTTTCTCGGAAATTATATATTTTTTTGCGGTAAAAAGTATCCTATATGTTGACCCGGATCAACAGCTATCATTATACCAAATGTCATCAAAATCCCTCCAGTGATTTTTCTGTGATGCGGTAACAGACATACAGACAAAAATTCTAAAAAGTATAGATTCGGCCTCTGTATCGATAATAATGTTTGTTTCAATAAGATTTTACAAAAAATATTTAATGTACAGATTCGGCTTAGTTCACTTTTATTATATGTATAGATTAAGTAACATAATTAAAGTACAAATTATGACTTACTTAAAGTAATGTGAGATTTTCTTGTAAGTATTGAAAGAAAGGTGAAGGTCAAATTCAGAAATTTCAATAATACATTAAAAAGTTAAGCATTGTAATACAAATCGTTGCCAAACTACTTGGAACGTTTTCTAGGTCATGAGTCATATTTATGTTTCTTTATTTATTTACAAGTAAACTATATTATTAAAAAAATGACAGCAAAAAGAAGAAACAAAAAAAAAATAATTATATGCAAGTTTAATGTTTAATATCTTATATATAAAATTTCCATGTCACAATGTTTGTTACCGTACTCCTCCGAAACGGCTTTACCGATTTTTACCAAATTTTATATACGTATTCAGTAGGTCTGAGAATCGGCTACTATCTATTTTCCATACCCCTAAGTGATAAGGATAAGGGTGGTCCTCCCAGACCCCACCCCAGGGACGAACCCGAGCGGAGCGAGGGTGAGTCGCTAGTATATATATAAAAAATGTATATTACGCTATTTTAACCGTAAAAAATTAAGTCTTCAATTGCTTTCGTTGAATATTTATAAATAATTGTTGTAAACTGAAATAGAATGTAAATTCATAAATTAGACTATCTATTAAAATTTTGAAGTAGATTTGATTATTTTATTACACTAGATGATTTATTGAACAAAAATATTCACAATTTAAATGAATTGAGTTTTAAACTATCTCACAAAGACTAACGCGAACTTTGTGTAAAAAAATGTAAAAAAAATATTATACATATTATATGTATATTGTATATTAAAAAAATAGATACTGTTCAAGAATTTCATTTTCGCGCAAAATAGTAGCAAGAATAATAACTTAATAAAAATAATAACTTTTTATATAATCAAAATAAAGTTAAAAAATTCCAGAAAAAAAACTCGTTTTATTCACAAATGCGTAACAATTATTTTTTAAGAAACTTGTTAAAAATATGTTATGAAAAAAATACAATAAAACATACATACATATCTATACATACTTAATATTATAAAGGAAAAGTTTTTTTTGTTTGTTTGTACCGAATAAGCTCCGAAACTACATAACCGATTTAGATGAAATTTGGTAAGAAGATAGTTTGAGACCCTGAGAAGGACATAGGATCATCTCTTAAGGGGATGAAAATGGGCATAAAGTTTTTGTGAGGAAGCAACCTAAGGTCGAACCGGAGCGAACCGAGGGCCAGTCGCTATCAAATAAAAAAAATGTCTAAACAATTCATTTCCACATAAATAAATAGCAAGAATAATAACATAATAAAAATAATAATAAGTGGAAATAAAGCAAATTCAAGAAAAAATCTGGTTTTATTCAGAACGTTACAAAGCAACTTGCATCACTATCAGTCCAGGAAAGTACTACGAGTATATCCTGGCTTGGAACTCTTCCAGGTGGTTTGCAATGCAAAGTAGGGTTTACAATATAAGGTACTTTTGAACGTAATCAGTCTTTCTATTCATATCATAGGACTACTCGGTCTATGATAAAGAAATGGCATCCTATTATTAAATTTTTTAAATATCTGCGTATTTATAGTCTAAGAATTTAATACCTTTTCTTTCATACCAGCTTAAGCTTCATTATTTACTAGCGACTCATCCTTGCTTCGCTCGTATTCGTTCCTAGGTACGTTTTAACGGTTAGTATGGAATAGATATACTATGTATTAGTATATAGGTACCTACACATATGATGAGTTTTATATCCGTTACTTGAGAAAATGATTGATTCCCCAAACAAACTTTCATTACCCTGTTCTATCCGTTAAGGGATATTTCCGGGATAAAAATTAACCTATGGCCTTCCCAGGGATTCAAACTATCTTCATACATTTTTAAATTTCATCTAAATCGGTTCAGCAGATTTTTAATTTATCGATTACAAACAAACATACAAAAAACATCTTTTTTTCTCTTATTCTTTTATTAATTAATTTTTCTTGTCATTATTATTTATTATAAATGCGGAAAATGTGTCAATTTGTTTGTCATTATTTAACGTAGATATGGACCATTGCAAAGCATATGGAACATTGTGAAGATAGTTTACAGGGTGGAATGTGGAATAGGATATTTGTTATTCCTACACATCAGGTGGAATATTAAGAAAAAAAAATTTTTTAAATAAAAGTCTCTCCCGTGACCATGGATGCTGTAAAGCATTCGAAACGTCGGGAACCAAAAATCAAAATAAATCCGCGAAATAATCCGAAAAGATAGTTTTCTTTAAAAATGTCAAACATTCGCGTAAATCTAAGTAAGTATTAAAAAAAAATATGTTACAATTAGTGTCTGTGATTAGCAATAATAAGTATTTTTAAATTAATACCATACATACCATAAATATTAAGAAATTAATTACACGTAACTGGCAGTTAATTTTGCGAGTTATATTATTAGAATGATTAGAAACGACCAGTTAAGAACAAAGAAAGATAAAAAACAAAACCTCGAGGTAACAATTACGTTAGAGGTGTGCAATTGTAAAAAAACCTGTCCGACTTTTTGCGAGGTGAAGTCATTAAATTCATTATTTTTGGCCATTACTTATAGATTTGCTCTTATTGTTCTTTTTGGCATATCAAAATGATAAAAAAAAATGTTATTTTTTTTTCTTAAACGCTATTTTCGCCTAAACGTGAAATATGTACAAAAACATACATACGAATTGAATACCTCTTCTTTGTTGAAGTAGGTAAAAATTATAATGTATCGTCAGCATTTGTCAAACCAAGTATTTCCAGATGATTCACATGAAGCTTGTATTACTCTTGACATTTAACTTTAGTATGACACAGTGTTTGTTTCTATTAATATATGATTAATAGACACATGAACATCGCAGTCTTACATGTTTTTAATATATATAAGACGAGCGACATACCCTCGCTTTGCTCGGGTGCTTCAGTAGGTATATTTTTTTTGAGCGGAACCCTAATTCTTTTTCTAAAATAAAAGTACCCTAAGTTACATTAACATCAGCCATATGCCAATAAAAGTCCCGTTAAAATCGATCCAGCTGTTTCGGAGATTAGGCGGAACAAACAGACAAACTGGCAGACAAACTGGCAGACAGACAAAAAATTTAAAAATTGCATTTTTCTTATAAGTAGGTACTGTATATACTTTCGTATGTACAAGTATTAAGTTAAAAAGCAGTTATTTCGACATTACAAACAGACACAATTTTATTTATCTGATATTTGAGACTCGTCAAAAATAAGGTTTGCGTATAGTTGTTGACCTTTGCTATCTATCTTGTAACTAAATGAGAAGATTAGCTCTATCATACCAAAACTGATATGAGTATTGTACAGTATTAACAATTTTAAACAACTAATTTTCAAATCGATACGATATTATAGTAATCTGACATCTGCTTCCAACATGAAATTAATTAAATAAAGCTATCTTTTTAACCTCTCCCGTCTCGTCAATCTCTCCCGTAACCATGGTTGCTGTAAAGCATTCGAAACGTCGGTAACCAAAAATCAAAATTATAAATCGAAAAGATAGTTTTATTTAAAATGTCAAATATTCGCGTAAATATAAGATAGTATTATTAAATTAAATTAGTTACAAGTGAAACTAATAAAAACTGGTTTAAAAATTACTGGTTTTGAAACCAACAATGCAATAACACTAAATATGTTATAGTTTAATGATCAATCAATTATATTTATTTATTTTCTATGTACATTTACAACTTTTTAATTATAATTACTCAATCAATTCCTTTAAAATTAAATTGCAATGATATCCAAGAATGCGGTCTGACAAGTTTTTACTAATGACATGTTATAAAATATTATGTATGCACTTTTAAATATAATGTGGAGTCACTGTTAGTAATTACCATTTTTTTTAAATATACCAATACGATAAATTCTTAAGGACATGAATCGGTCCATATTTATCAATGGTAAAGTACTAACAAAAGATTTTGTTAGTACTTTGCCACAAGTTAATTTAAATATGTATACATCTCAAATGTTCAATATCTTTCCCATACGTATTATCTATCTACATATAATAAAATTGTAACTAAGCCGAAACTGTATATTAAATATTTTTTGGAAAATCTTATTGAAATAGATATTATTATTCAATAGAGATCTCTAGTTTTTAGACTTTTTGTCTGTCTGTTTGTCTGTCCGTGACCGCATCACGAGAAAATCACTGGACAGATTTTGATGGGTATGATGATAGCTGGTTATTAGGGTTAACATATATGTTACTTTTTACTGTAAAAAATATCTCATCTCTGAGAAATCTATATTAAACGTTAAATATAAATGGCGAATAGGAAGGCTTTATCCCTTAAGCATGGGGTTGAAAAAGATTGCAAAATAAAAGGTAAAAACAGGTAAAGATAAAAGGTTTTCATAACACTTACCTCCTATTGTCTAGGTAATTGTAGTCTAAAGGCATGCTTTTGTCGTCATGCATGTCGTACAGATCGCTGTATATCGCGGACTCGAGGCGCGCCGGGTCCAAGTGGTAGTTTGGGTTCTCGTATGAGAGCAGACCATTCTCTGTTGACAAAAATGTTATATTTAATAGAAAATCATCACAAAAATATTCAATTTTCCACTAAATTTTAATTTTTAATTTATACTAAAAGTTTAATATTTTCATTGTTAATGTGATCATTTTAGAACGTATTAAACTTTTTATTATGTAATTATTGAAAATTATTACACCCTTAGAGGTGGGCAGATTCCCTGAAATTTATATACAGTGTTATTATATTTATGTACATACAATAGATACAAAAACATAACTAAATTAAGAACTTCCTATTTTTGAAGTCGGTAAAAACTAGCTATCTGCTCTAGTTCACATTACCTTTCTTTCAATCACAATTAGAATTATCCAAAATTTCTAAACAATTGATATAATTTCTGCCCATAAACAACTTTTTTATGAAAACAATTACGTCAATAGCTGCTGATTCTCTTTAAAATACAAACGAATTAATACGGTGTAAAGTATAAAGCATAATGTTACTAAGAATAAATAAAATGCTAGAATGCACATCACTACCGACTTATATTATGTATACTAATATATAAAGAGAAAAAAAGTATTTTTCTTTGTAATGGATAAACTAAAAATCCGCTAAACTGATTTAGATTAAATTTTGTTATGAAGATAGGTTGAGACCCTGGGAAGGACATAGGATAGTTTTTATTTCGGAAATTACCCCTTAAGGGGGTGAAAATGGGGATGAAAGTTCGTATGGGGAGTCAATCATTTCTTAAGGAAGTTATATGGAACTCGTAGTATATATATATATCTAGTATATACTAATATTTTATGTCATGAATGTATGTACATATACATTTTATTATGTCATTCAATATAATGAGTAGATTATATACCATATAAAGTTTACTAATACTGGTATGGATTACGAAGAGAAAATAATTAATATTAGCCTTGTATTGATTGCTCATTTCAAAAATCTATTTAATATCCATTACAATGAAGAATTATTAAATACGCCGTTTTTAATTTCACTTCATGTACTCGTACAATATTAAATAAAATCTTGTACAAAAAAAAGTTATTTGTTAGTAATTATTTTTTTAATTTCATAAAACCTCACAAATCCTTATTGACACGGGAATCAAACTCGCGAATTTCAGATCAATTTCAATCAATTTCAAATTTCAAATCGTATATATGTCCTTGTGATATTTTGTATATGTGTATGTGTATCTTTGTTACTCCTTAACTCTGAAACGGCTGGACAGATTTGCATGAATTTATTATATATATTACACAGACTATAACATATAGGCTACTTATTAGGCATATAGGCACTCGAGTAAACCCTGGATATGTGGCTGTAGTTCAACAACAAAGCAACACAAATATGTTAGAAATAATATAATTTTCGTTTGAAAAAACTAAAAGTAAATAATTGAGTGCTTAATTTATTTATTCAGTCGCGACATGCATTTGGACGGTTTCATGTAATGTGACGCCGAAGCCTTAGATGTTGTCGTTATACAACTTTGTGTACCGACAATAAGCCTATAATGTAAAATAACTGCCTATTAGTTACAGTCTACAGACAAATAAATAGGCTTTTTTTCTATATGTAATTTCCTTACCTAGAATCTGTGTAATGAATTGTACTTATACTTTGATATATATGACCTAGCTGTTGCCTGTGGTTTTACATCTTTTTTCTTTATTTTATTACATAAATAATTGATTTTTTTCTGTAATAAAATAATTAAAAACTATAGATAAAATAAGATAAAAAAATGTATTTTGTACCTACTTGCATTTTTAATATATATAACTAATATTTAAAAAAACGCGTATTTACTTAATTTTTTTTTTTTGTAATCATTTAATAACTTTTGAATTCCGCTTAGCAATTGGCTATGAAATTAACAGTAGGTACCATAAAAAGTTCCAATGAAGTCAAAAGTGCCTTATTATATATCTATGTATACAAAATCAAAGAACTGCTGTTTTGGCTACATATCTTTCAAATTAACCACTAAAATCGTCAGCGTGTCGCATAAACTTCTTGTTCTCAACATAGGGGATGTTGTCTCAACCCTAATTTCCAACTTACCCTTATACGAGGGCAATATTATCGTTAGGGTTGCGCTATAACCGTTACGGTCCACGTTATAGTCAGGTTCAACCAATCGTTTTACATACAAATAACAACAAAAGGTACACGTGTATTGGAAAACGTTTTTCCTTTTATAAAAGAGAATAATTGTCGTAAAAACACTAACAAAAGCTTTGCTAAAACGATTCTCATTAGAAACTAATAGCGACTCACCCTCGCTTCGTTCGAAATCGTCTCTAGCTTGCTTCCCCATACAAATTTTCGTCCCCATTACGGGGGTGATTTCCGGGATAAAAAGTATCCTATATCCTTCCCAGGGTCTCAAACTATCGTGTTACCAAATTTCATCTAAATCGGTGCTGTAGATCCATACATTACCCCCTACCACCTCACAAACTCACAAACTTTACCTCTTTATAATATTAGTATAGATATAGGCACTGAAAAATATTACTTTAACATTTTTTTATATATATAATTTAAAATGTATAGGAGTTTTGAAATAAAGATAAGTATAATGCTAATTATTATTGTAAAATAATAATTCCTTAGATTTACTCGAATATTTGACATTTTAAAATAAACAGTTTCGGATATTTTCGGGGATTTATTTTGATTTTTGGTTCTTGACGTTTCGAATGCTTTACAGCAATCATGGTCGTGGAAAAGACTAAAATTTTAGACGTCTCAATCACATACTTGTTACAGACAGTGCCTACCCACTATTTTACAAAAATTATTTCAAGAAGTTATTATATTATAGTTGTTATGTTGTTGTTTGACTGCCTCGGTGGTGTAGTGGCTAGCATGTACGGCTGCACACCCGGAGGTCCTGGGTTCGAGTCCCGGGTCGGGCCAAGTTTAGTTATTGAGACTTTCTGTATAGTAAGTCTCAGTAACAGCCCGGAGTTGGGAAGTTGGCGGTGTTTCACCCCCGTGCCTCGGAGAGCACGTAAAGCCGTCGGTCCTGCGCCTTAACTCTCACCGGTCGTGTCGAGTGGTCGTCCCACCGGAGTATGAGAGTGATAGGAATAGAGAGTGCACTTGTGTGTGCGCGTACACTTGAGCACTATAATATCTCCTGCGCAGTTGGCTAGTCTCAATGAGATTGGCCGCCGTAGCCAGAATCGGCTAGGAGAACATCATCATCATATTATAGTTGTTACAGAAAGTACCTACCTACAAAATTATACAATGATTTCTAAAAATCCTACCTAGTTCATTCAATTTAGTAATAGAGGGATTCTATACCTGAAAAATGGTATCTTTTCAGGTATTTTGACTTATATTTACTTTCATATTTTGTTTAAAGTCATTATTGCATTAAATATCATTGTTTTTCTAAGTTTTATTATTAAAAAGGTCTCTCCGTAACGATTTTAATACTGCCCTTTACCATGAGGCGTTCGTGTTAGAGGCGATTAAAACTTAGCTATTCTGAACATTGCTATGTGGAGCGCGAAGAATAACACGAACTTTGAACTTGGGAACAGTGGTGCTGTATAAAAGGAATATCTATACCAATATTATAAAGAGGTAAAGTTTGTGATGTTGTAGGGGGTAATCTCTGGATCTACTGACCCGATTTAGATGAAATTTGGTAAGAAGATAGATTGAGACCCTGGGAAGGATATAGGACTTTTTATCCCGGAAATCATCCTTTAAGGGGGTGAAAATGGGGATGAAAGTTTGTATGGGGAATCAAGCTAGTGACGAACCCGAGTGAAGCGAGGGTGAGTCTCTAGTTTTTATATATTTTCAGTATTTAATTAATGTTACTCTTCACTTAATTAGCGCAAATAAACATCCATACTTCATATTATAAATATGAAAGTGTTTGTTTGTTTGCCCTTCTTTCACGTCGCAACAGAGTGACGGATAGACAGAGAGAGAGGTAGTTGGAGAGCTGAAAAGAGATATAGGCTACTTTTTATCCCCGAAAATATCTCATTCCCACGGGAAAACACGTTATAATACAACCCACAACAGCTCATCAAACCTATATACGTATATGTAATATATATAGTCTATCTATTCCATACTAACCGTTAAACGTACTTAGACACAAACCCGAGCGAAGCGTGGGTGAGTCGCTAGTATTCCATATAAAAATAATTTGTATAATGATCTAATAAAACACTCTACAGTCTACATGTATACATGATGATAAGAAATGACTCTAATTTCTCATAAATACATATTATATGTTTCAGTGAAACATATTTTCATATGAAATAAGAAATAAGATGACACATGATTTAAGCAAACGTAATATTTTTACAGCTTTCTAAATTATTGTTTAAAACAGTTCGTGTAATGGAAATAGTATGGTATTAGTTATTTAGCTGCTCAAATTATTATAAACTAGCTTGATTATTATGAACTAGGTTGATTCCCCATACAAAATTTTATCAACATTTTCATTTCTCTTAAGGGATGACTTCCGGTATAAAAAGTATTCTATGTCCTTCCCAGAGCCTCAAAATATCTTCTTACCAAATTTCATCTAAATCGGGTCTGTAGATCCAGAGATTACCCCCTACAAAGTCACAAACTCACAAACTTTACCTCTTTATAATATTAGTATAGATGTTGAGTTAAGGCGAATTTAGTAATAAAAGGTGAAAAATGTGTTTGCTTTTGTCAAGAATTATGCTTAAAAATAAATCACGTTTACATACATACAATATTATAATACAAAAAATAAACTTATTGAGACTGTATACAGTAATATTATATAATAAATGTATAGAGTATTTATCGTGTTGAAATATTTTATATTAATTAGGTCAAAGATTAAATTATTTTCATTAATAAATTATATAAGTAATAACACTAACTGCCGCCCGCCCTTTTTTCTGCCGCCCGCTCTATTGTACTCAAATCAAATCAAAATATTTTATTCAGCATTAAATTATTACAATGTTTTTACTGAACGTCATGAGTCCACTACCAGTTCGGAAAGAAGAAGCCTCAGACCTGAGAAGAACTGGCGAACGAAACTCTTTATCCTTATCTTTTGTATCTTGTTTGTATCTTGTACTAGACGTACTTGCGTAAATGTTTCTTCTAGCCTTCAGAAGCCTTTACGTATATTTACTTAGATTTTTCGCTTGTAAATTAAATATTTAGATAATACTTTCTTAGATTTAAGCGAATGTTTGACATTATTAAATAAAACTATCTATAGATAAATAATTTTCCATATTCAATTATAATTAAAATTATAAAAATGTTTTAAAGTTAAAAATATTGTAATGTAATTGGTGCAATTTTCATTTTGTTAATTGTGGGTAGGCTGTCTGTAACAACTATATCTTTAAGACATGTAACACCTCAGTCTCTCCCGTGACCATGGATGCTGTAAAGCATTCGAAACGTCGGGAACCAAAAATCAAAATAAATCCGCGAAATAATCCGAAAAGATAGTTTTATTAAATATTTAGATTAAATAAAAAAACAAATGAAAAAAAGGGTAACGACTTTTTTTTTTATTGACAGGAAATAATATTTATGAACGAGCGACTCAACCTCGCTCCACTGGGGTTCCTCTCTAGTTACGTTTTAACGTTGAGCATATATTTTACAGAGATGAGATATTTATCCGCAGAAAAAAGTATCCTATATGTTAACCCGGATAACCAGCTATCATCATACCAAATTTCATCAAAATCTGTCCAGTGGTTTTCTCGTGATACGTTCCCAGATAGATCGACAGACAAAAAATCTTAAAACTATAGATTCGGCCTTTGTATCGATAATAATGACTATTTCAGTAAGATTTTCCAAAAAATATTTAATGTACAGATTCGACTCAGTTACAGTCTTATTATATCTAGGTATAGTAAGTAAATAAAAGAAATGATGAAGAGTGTATGGAACTCAAAAAAAAATAGAATACGTTCAGCAGTTTTCACTTTTAAAAATCATTATAATATATTATAGATTCCAATATATTAAACTTAGTTAAACTTTTTATTCCATACTAAGTACTTAAGCAAAATATGCGAAAAACAATAATTATAAGAAACAATACAATTGTATACAAAGGCAGCATTATCACTGATGATTTCTATCGTTTTTAAACCATTTTTACGTGTATTCTTGAACTGGGTTATGAATGCATAATGAATGATTATACTTGTAACGATTAACTGATTATTTTGATATACGAAGTGCAGTGTTACTTTTTAATGTTAAATAAAGCTTATAGCTTATCTATACGATCTGATCGCTGTCTGTACATGGAAGGTATTTCAGAAAAACTATTATTGGGGGTATGTATTAAACCAATAGCACCCAAAACAATGATTTTTAGAATTTTTGTCTGTTTCTCTGTGCGTTTGTGCGCGCTAATCTCAGAAACGGCTGAACCGATTTGGGTGCGGCATTCAATAATGTATTGTGGTAAGCTTCACTTAACATTTAGTATTTGTTTTATTTCAATCGGTTCATAAATAAAAAATTTAGGTCAATTTAAACAATCATCTAAGCTAGTACGAATACAATATACATATGTATGTTTGTATTAAAGTATTTCTTACTAAGTCTCTAAATTACATACTAGGGGCTTACTCTGAGTTATTCTCGCTTCGCTCAGGTTCGTCTCTAAGTGCCTAACAGTAGCCAATATGCCACTTCAGGTCATATTCTATATAAGTATATATATATATATATATATATATATATATATATATATATATATATATATATAAATTTCCTTCAAAATCGTCTAACCGTTTCAGTGTGAAAGAGCAATAAACATACACATACATACATACAAACTTTTGCTTTTACAATAGTACTTTAAAATTAATAAGTAATGATATAATTTAACCCTTTAGCATTCCACTGTTGGGAACGGGCCTCTACTCAATGCGAGGATGATCAAGCCATTTTCAGTTTATTACGAGTAATTTCTTACTGCATTAGAAGCTTCTTTTCTACCATATTACTTCGTATATCATACATAATAAATTTCATACATTTATCTTTCAAACTACTGTTTAGAGCTGTACGTTTTACATTCTGAAAAATTGAAAAAAAAAGTTTCAATTTCTAAAAAATGTATAAAATGTACATAAACGATTTTATTTAGTTTCAGTAAATGGAGTGAGGTTTCAAACGTTTTCACTTCTTAATGAAAGTCTTAGACTGAAGGATATATCGATCGTCCGACCTTCGCCCGCCCGAACATACTGTGCACGTCGCGTCATCATAAAACTTCATATAATTACAACAGCATATGGTATATAAGCCTATTTTGTAAAAGTATATTTTTACAGTATAATGTCTCAACCTATAATATGTATAGATATTGTAAATGTGAAAGTTTGTGAGTATGCATGTTTGTTACTCTTTCACGCCAGAACGGTTGAACGGATCTGGATGAAATTTGGCACAGAGATAGATTATAGTCTGGCATAACACATAGGCTACTTTTCATCCTAGGAAAATGTATGGTTCCCGTGGGGTAGGTTTGTTTTTGTACCTAGAGGCGAACTCGAGCGAAGCGAGGTGAGTCGCTAGTAGTAAAGAAATTTCGGTTTTAATCGGTTAAAAGAAAGGGACGGGAATATTAGATTGAAATTACTAAAAGGCCATAAAGTCTATACATATGTATTATGTATATGTATAAAATAGAACTTTTCTCTTAATAAGTAATTTTTTTGTACTATTTTATCTTATTTTAATCTATTTATTTATTATAACTGTTATTTTATGTAGATTTGTAGGTATGAGCATTTAATATGTGGCTTTATGCATTTGTTACTTTCATGTTGCTGCTAATCAAAAATATACCTAATTAAAATCTTTACATAGAGCAAAATGAAGTCGCTTCAGCTGTCTGTTCGCTTAGATCTTTTAAACTACTCAACTGATTTTAATGCAGTTTTCAGCAATAGATAAAGTGACGAACCCGAGCGAAGCGAGAGTGAGTCGCTAGTTAATAATAAGCATGTTAAGAATCGAAATTTTATTTGTTTATTATTAAGAAAATTCCATAGTCATAGTCGGTAAGGCGATTGTTATTTAAAACTCTTATTAATTATTTTAATATTACCCAAAGATATCAATCGCTAACGAAGCTTTAATTTTTTAATTATTAACTATACTGTGGTTTTAATCTATTTTTAATTACTAAGAGTATAATAGATAATTGAATAGATCAACCTTCTTGAGTAGATTAAAGTGGTCGATATTGCTGATAGAATGCTTTCTATTAGCGATAGCGTTTGTAGAATTTCATCTTGTCAGAGAGGTCTTATTAGGAAACCTATAGGTACATATAATAAAATTGTAACTGAGTCGAATTTATACATATTTTTTGGAAAATCTTATTGAAATAGTCATTATTATCGATACAGAGGCTGAATCTATAGATTTTAGATTTTTTGTCTGTCTGTCTTTCTGTCTGGAAACGCATTTTTTTCTATGAAACAATATATTTTAGAGTTCGAATTGGAATAAGTCATTGTGTGTGTATGTTTTTGTGTTAACAACTAACAAGGCACGCGTATGTCATTAGTGATTCAGTTACGAAACACAATTTTTGTAATGCGTTTTCGTTTGTACCCGACTGCCAAGATGTATATATACATATAAATAATGTATGTTTGTACATGCCTCTAAAAAGTGGGAACTATAAAAATGCGAAGTTTGTATGCGTGTATATGTTTGTTACTCCCTCACGCAGAAACAACTGGAAGGAATTGGAAGAGTGCACAGTAGACAATTCAGTACCTTTTTCTGATCTGTTTGTGTTTTTTTCGTTTAGTCGCTATTGATGAGCTTTAATTACCAGTAAAAAAATTCGAAACATTTAAGGTTTTTTACAAAGATAGGGAATTCTATTATATAAGTACATATAATAAAATTGTAACTACGCTGAATCTGTACTTTTGATATTTTTTGGAAAATCTTATTAAACTAGATAGACATTATTATCGATACAGAGGCCGAAAATATGGTTTATAGAATTTTTGTCTGTCTGTCTGTTACCGCATCACAGAAAAACCACTGGATGGATTTTGATGAAATTTGGTATGGTGATAGCTGGTTATCCGGGTCCTGGAAATAAGATTAGAGCAGGCAGAAGAAGAAGAAAAAGAAGAATAGATCCCATTGAAAATAGTAACAGTTAAAGTAGCCAAACCGGCTCTGTATATTGTATAATGACAGACATAGTAATTAATATACTTAATCATATTTGCATATGACCTCGAATATTTGTTGGATTCGAACCCAAGAACCAAGTTATAATTTATACATTACATCATATTATGCGATTATTATATTTAAAAAAAATAACAAAAATATAAAAACAACTTAATAGGTACATAAAAAAATTAGCATTTACTTCATAAAAACATAAAATTTAACCATATTTCGAACATATATAATAATTGGTTGAATAATACTCACTTTCCCGCTTGTGTAAGCCCATGTTGGTAAAACACTAGCACATAGTGATGTACACTTTCACATCTCATAAGCACATCACTATTCAAAGTAATGCTGTGGACACACCAACGTACGTAACGTATTAAGCAAGTAAATAGTGTGTGGAATTTAAATTGTTTCAAATTGCTAGTATCAAGTGACAGACTTTCTAACAAAATAAAATATTACCAAAAGTAACACTTTGCGGTCTTTCCTTTGAAATTTATCAGATAGTATAGCAGGTTGTCAATATATCTAAACATATAATAAAATTGTAACTGAGCCGAATCTGTACATGAAATATTTTTTGGAAAATCTTATTGAAATAAACATTATTATCGATACAGAGGCTGAATCTATAGTTTTTAGAATTTTTGTCTGTCCGTCTGTCTGTTACCGCATTACAGAAAAATCACTGGAGGGATTTTCATGAAAGGTATGGTGATAGTTCGATACCCGGGTCAACATATAGGATACTTTTTACCGCGGAAAAACATCTCATTTCTGAGAAAAAATACAAAAACTGCAATGTAAGAGTATACTAATATGTAAAACTTAAGAATTTGGTTTTTGGTCATCTGAACGCGGGCGGAGCTGCGGGCAAAGCTAGTATATATCGATATTATAGGTATATAGTAGGTAGGATATTAGTTAAATTGTACCTGATCGATGTCTGTACATGGAAGATATTTGAGAAAAACTATTATTGCGGGTCTTTATTAACGCAATAGAACTCAAAACAATGATTTTTAGAATTTTTGTATGTTTGTTTGTGCGTTTGTGCGCGCTAATCTCAGAAATGTCTAAACCGATTTGGGTGCGGTTTTGACTAATGTGTTGTGAGCTTCATATAACATATAGTATTCGTTTAATTTCAATCAGTTTATAAATAAAAAAGTTATATCAATTTAAAAAATCATCAGTATGAAATATTTTCGAAATCGACTTAATAATTTAAATACTTTTCAGTTCAAAGTCGTGTTATATTTAAATATATATATATATATATAATGTTACATCGAAATATAATAAATATAATACCTATGTGTACTTTCATAACGTGGTGAGCCTAAGAAGTAAAATTTTGTCTATGTCTATAAACAATGATGTTTCCCATACAAATTACGACGCGCAATTTTGATAATTAACCTATGTGAAAGTCTTTACGTATTGTAATGTAATCACTCATTATCAAAAGGAGGTTTGCAAAAATGCTTATATTAAAAGTTTAATTTTACTAAATCATTCTAACAGAGGTTTTGAATAAAAATAATTTTGCAACTAACAATCATGTAACTCGATAAGTATTTAAATGATTAAAAAGTAGTACGTTCAAATTAAAATATTTAATTGCAATGTTGTGCCTTGCTTTAATAATAATAATGTTTGAATTAATTTAGTAACATTACTAGCACAACTGTTGTTAAATAAAAGTCATTCATCAATATCTTAACTTTTTCCAAGCACTACAGAAATTCCACGGCGTTGCTTGCAGTTTTTATTATTTTTCAACCAATTTTCATAAAGATTGAGATTATCTTTACTAATATTATAAAGAGGTAAAGTTTGTGAGTTTGTGATAATCTCTGGCTACTAAACCGATTTAGATGAAATTTGGTAAAAAGATAGTTTGAGACCCTGGAAAGGACATAGGATACATTTTATACCAGAAATCATCCCTTAAGGGGGTGAAAATGGGGAAGGAAGTTTGTATGGGGAATCAAACTAGGCACAAAGTCGTTAGTTACATATAAAATATCAAAACACCGCGTAATTTATGGAACTAATATAGTATAGTACAACACTAATACTTCGCCAATATCACGTAGAACGGAGACGACACGAAGGAAAGCTTAATTTAATGTAATATAAAAAAAATGTAAAACTGAAAGGGGCTTTTGAGTGTCAGTAGTTTTTGAAAATATTTCTACTTGTATATTAATACAATACAGGACTTAAACGCGTGTACGTTAGGGGCAAAATACTTTATCATCGACGTTCTGACTGGGTTGCACCAGCCTTGGTTAAGGGCATGACATCATCCCCCCAACGTGCGTTCACCTTGTCGTGGTGGGGGGGCTCAGTAGTGCCCGGCAACCCAACCGGGCGCGAAGCCAAGAAACGCACAGGGAGGTGGCCCACTTCGGTGGTCGGTGGGAGGTGGCCCTCTTCAGAGGGCAGTGTACCATGCGGGTTGCTCCTGGTACTTCTCTGATAGCAGAGTGGACTGTGGAGCAACCCCGTGGTTGTTGTGGTCTGCTTCGGCAGACCTGCCGTCGGGGCGTCGTAGTTGAATGCGTAAGCGATCCTGCGACGCCCCATTAAGACGGAGGTAGGTTTTGTTGGGTTTTAGTGGGTAGTACTGGCTTTGCCGGTGAGTCCCACACCTCGTGCGTAAATGCATTTCCCAACGTTAAAAAAAAAAAAAAAAAGGGTATGACATCATCCCGGGAGAGAAGCCAACTCCTACCGGGCGCGTCCCCGGGTGGCGGATAGGGGCATGCCACCCGCTTAGAGGGGCGGGTGGTACCGGAGAAATCCGGCGCGGACCAAATGGCTTGGATGGGGCCGCTCGTCTAGGCCTCGAGCCGAAGACGTTGCGGCCACCGGTGGTGGGACCGCTTGGTCCCACAACCGGATGATGGGTGCCGGTTGCGGGACTGTGGTCGCAGGCCCGCATTCGGCGGAGGGGTAGGCCGCGGCGGGAGAGGAGTGCCGGTATTTCGGTGCGCCGTTCTCCCTACCTTCCGCGGCCTAGACGGGGCCGCCACCGTTTGATGGCGGACGCGGTGGGGCTGCAGGAGAAGAGGAGTGTCAGTGTTTCGTTGCCGCTCCCTGTCCTCTGCAGCCGATTGGAAGTGGCCCACTTCGGTGGGCGGTGTTTTGGTTTTATGGGGCTGCTCCGGGTACCTCTCTGACGTACCAGAGTTGACTGTGGAGCAGCCCCATTGGTTTGGTGGTCTGCCTAGTATTTAGGCAGACCTGCCGCCGGGGCGCCGTAGTAGTTATGCGCAAGCGATCCTGCGGCGTCCCACTAAGGCGGGGGGAAGGGATGTCGGGTTTTAGTGGGTAGTACCGGCTCTTCTAGCCGGTGAGCCCCACATCACCACCTGAGGGATCAGGTGGTATGCGTAAATGCATTTCCCGACGATGAAAAAAAAAAGGGCATGACATCATGTATACAATACAGGTATTACAAATAAATATATATATATATATATATATATATATATATATATATATATATATATATATATATATATATATATATATATATATGTCGTAGGATGATTTGATTATTCGAATTTTCGCAAAATACCTAGGGATATCGTGAAAGCACGGATAATTAGTCAATGGTGAAAACTTTTCTCAATCTTACTGGAAAAACTTAGGGTTTTTGTAAAAACATGTTCTAACCTAACCTAACAGACCTAGAAAGAAAGAAAGGGTTGTTCTGAGTAAGATGAGGATTCCGCCTTAACCTTTTCTTCTTAGCCTTTAAAACCTACGTTATCCAAGTCGGAACTGTCACATTATCGAAAAATAAAACTTACCAAACCATTGTCTAACTATCCGTGTTTTTGCAATGTCCCTAAGGTTTTCACGAAAATTCTAATTATCAAATCATCCTACGATATATATATATATATATATATATATATATATATATATATATATATATATATAGGATTCATCATAGGTATATTTGTATGTTATATTATGTTACATATGTAAATAAAGAAATAACATTTAAATGTGAATCCAGCGTTAAATCTGTGGGCATGAATTTTTAACAGCAATTAGCAGCGTGAGACATATTACATGTAATGTTTACTCGCTAACGAGAACTGCTACTTTCGTTTTCCGCAATAAATGTTTGAAAGTGGAGTTCATTTTCGAAATATTATGGCAAGTAATAAAATTATATTTGCCTACAATATTATTTTCAAATAACTCTCTATTATAGCATAGGTGCTTATTTAGTTAGACACCTAATTGATATATTTGATTTTGTTACAAAATATATAATTAACACCTTCAGGTAAATTTCTAAGAAATTAATTAAAATTATAAGAAATCTATTGTTAACTGACACGCCGGTGTGTCCGCGGTCGTGGAGGGATTAAAATATATTGGGACATTAACACACAGCATCATCTAGTTCCATGGGAAGCTACGATGCTTGTGTTATGGATACCAGACAGTGGATATACTATACATATTATATACTTTAAATACATACATATTATAAATCTATACAACCATTTTTTTTGTTGACGCTGGGGAAACCCATCATGGGGATCCTGCCCGCCGTCATAACGGACAAGGTACTGTGAGACTCCTACTCACTAAAACCCACAGCGGAACCCTTCGCCGCAGTGCAATGGGGCGTTGCAGTATCGCTTGCGCATTAACAAAACACCCCTGCGGTCGGCCCGTACCAAATCTATACAACCATGACTGAAGTATAAACATTCGTGCTGCATTTGTATGATACAAATGAATGCTCCCAACGGGACTCGAACCCGCGACCGCTGGCGCAGCAAGTAGGGTCACTACAAACTGAGCCAAACGTGTCGTCAAAATATAAATATAATACTTTAGTTTTGCAAAAATATGGTCGAGGCAAAATTACAACTCTATGCATAATTTACTCGTAGTAACGCATTTAAATACAAATTATACGCTCCTTTTGTCTTACACAAATCAAATACTTAGATTTGCTTTGTTTAGTCGCTTCTGTAATTAAGATCAGTGAAAATTCCAAGGATTTCTCACGATACGACACTTGATTCGTAATTAAAAACAAGCTGTAATAAACATAAAAAATAAAGAATTCCCACAAGGAAGCTTTTCAAAGCAAAGTAATTTTTATTTAAAAATATTTTATATAAGTTTTTTATACCTAAAATATAATAAAAAATAGGTAATTACTTAAAGAAAATTGTAAAATGTTTGTACATATGTATGTTTGTACATATGTATATGTACCCAACATATGTT